TATATATATATATATATATACGCACACACACGCAGTTAATAGCAAAACTTGGTACCAGTATTTCTCCTTTACATGAAAACCAAGAAAAATACCAAAATCAGTGGCAACATCCTTTTTGCTACTCATCACCTATCCATTTGTTCACAAATATCTGTGGTGCCTATCATGTGCCAGGATGCTAGAAATGAAAAAAAAAAAAAAAAAGAACAAGATAAAGGTCCTTACTCCTAAGAGCTCACTATAAAGTGGAGGAAAAAAATGTGCAAATAATTAACTATTCTAGATAATGATAATGACCATTCTATAGATGTCAACACATCCCCGTGGAGCATAAAGGAGAGAGTTACTAGCTCCACCTGGAGGAGTCAAAGTAGGTTTGACCACGGAGATTTGAACTGAGTCTTGAAGGATGAACAAGGTTGCCATGCAGGGAAGGGGAGGAAGAACTTTCCAGGGAGAACACAAAGATTGTATCCCATAGGTTAGAGCATCCACCAGCTAAGCCTTTCATGGGCTACGGGTGTGTGATTCTACTACAGGGTAGCCAGGTGGGACCAGGGCAGCTGGCATCCCTAGATCCCCTCCAGTCCTGAGCAGCCTTTTCCTCTTACTGCCATGCACCATAGACATGTTATTTTCTTTATGTGCTGTAATATAAAAAAATGTTGGGAAACACTGTCCCAGGGACCTGAGAGTTGATAGAGATTTGTAAGCTCAGGAATAACAGTAAGACTAGTGTGGGAGTTAACTTCAGTGGTGGTATGATGGCAGCCTGGAGAGAGGCTGGTTATCAGGATGGAGAAGTGGAAAGCTCCAACAGATTGATGACATATTCAAACATATTGCTGAACCACTCCACAGAGCCCCTCCTGCAGAAGGGCATACTCCGACCCAGGAATGTGAGGCTTGCCATGGGGCTTGCTTTGGCCAATGGACTAGGAGCAGAGGTGTTCTGTGCCCTTCGCTCGACAGCAGAAGCTCTAAGAGAACTTCAGTGTTCCCGTTTCACTCTCGGCCCTCTCTCCAAAGGCCAGCACGTACCAGACAGACTCAGCTGGGAGTGGAGAGGATGTGAAGCAGGGCTGCAGCTGACCCTCCAAGGGCAATGATGTGAGCAAAAATAAATCTTTATTGCTGTAAACCACTGAGGTTTGGAAATTATTTGCTACAGATTAAAGTATTTGTTACAGAGGCTAACGTGCTAGTCCAGGGTAGAGAACACAAGGACCTGAATTGACCTCTAATCTTCCCACAGTCAGTAAATCAATCGATAGTGCTCCCAGCATGACTAAGTCAGAAGAGAACCATGCTCTGTTCTGATGATTCCCAATCGAGGGTGTGAGAATCTCTTGGGGATCTTTACAAGGAACACATGTCCGGCCAGGGCTAGACAAAGCATATGTGTTCAATCCTACGTTCTGTAAACATCTGTTCAGCATTTATTTAGTGTAAGTGGGAAGAAGGTGGTTTCCCATTAGTAAAGCTTGTTTCCCACTTTCTTTAGGTTTATGATTCAAATGTTGGCTACCCCCTTTGTCATCTTCTTTGAGATTCCACTCTGAAAATAAAGCAAAACTTAAGCATGCAAGAGTATAGGTGAGTGCTGTAGAATTTACTGCCAATTTCATCAAGGAGTTGGGAGAGAGGGCTTGCATTGCATGCCAGACTACATTTTGCTAGGAAAACAACAACAAAAAAAAAAAACTCACTAAATGAGGCTTTTCCCCAAAACTCTCTTCCCAGCTTCATAACCAAAACTTGTCTCCATCTCAGAACCCCTGCTCTATGCCATCTTTGAATACACTAAAGAGAGTGCTCTTTTAACTGCTGGTGCTTAATGTAGGCAATGTGCAAACAAGTTGTTAAAGTAAAGTTGAAATCCCCGAAATCATTCTTAATGATCCTATCCAAAGCCCTGATGAGCCCACCGTGAAGGGATGAGAGGGAGAGTATCTGGAGCACCTAGAAACTGGGAGAAGCGGGTCCAGAAAAATGAAAAGGAAGAGCACCAAGGGTAAGCCTCGACCATTACACAATCTGGCCCACAGCTTGCTCTAAACCAAAAACCAAATCCACTGCCATCAAGTCGATTCTGACTCATAGCAAACCGACAGGGCAGAGCAGAACTGGCCCGTAAGGTTTCTAAGGCTGTAATCTTTACAGAAGCACACTGCGCCATCTTTCTTCTATAGAGTGGCTGGTGGGTTTGAACCTTTTGGTTAGCAGCCAAATGCTTAACCACTGTGCAACCAGGACTCCTTCAACTACCTCTAAGACAGCTTTTATTCTGTCAACGTCAGCCTTCTTAAATCTGTGCAAACCACAAGCTGAAATCTGAATAAAACCATCTTTGCAACAGTTTATACAATCAGAAATGTAGCGGGCTGTACCTGCCAGGGGGGCTTACCTTTTGAGTGAAGTCCCTGGCTCCATTGATGTACCGATCTCGCTCCTTCTCCAGTTGAAAGATGATCTTCCTCTGTTTCTGAGCCTCATCCTTGTAATTCTGGATTTCTTCCTCCAGGTTCCTCTTGGCTTGCTCATGGAGCTTTACCAGGTCTATCTGTTTCTGGGTCGCACTGACCGCCTTCAGCATATTCTAAAAATACAGACAATAAAGGAGCCAGGTTACACATAATGTTTGGGAATTTTTCTTTTTAGCTGCTATCTTTTCTCTCAAATAATTAGATACATTGTCTTCTGGATAAATAAAAATAATTCTATTCTCTACAACTTATTGAGAGCTGCTTACATTAATTTTTCACAAGGCATTTTAAATGCACATATAAATGTACTACCTAACCACAATATCCCAAAGAGTAGGTACTATATCGTTCCCATATTAGGGTAAGGAAACCGAGACTGAAAAGGGTTAAGCTACTTGCTTAAAATGCCTAAGGTTGTCCTACTGAGTAGTGGCAGAGTCAGAATTTGAACCCAAGGCTGGGTGACCCCAAAGTCCATGCTCATAACTTCCACCTAGCTCTAGGGATGTGTGTGTGTGTGTGTGTGTGTGTTTACAACAACTGAAACTAATCATGGATCTTGTCTCTTACTGTTGTTGTTGTTGTTGTTACATGCCATCAAGTCAGACCCGACTCATAGCGACCCCTCCTTGGGTTTCCGAGGCAGTATCACTATGGAAGTAGATTGCCCCATCTTCCTTCCTAGGAGTGGCTGGTGGGTTTGAACCGCCAGCCTTCTGGTTAGCAGTCAAGTGCCTTTTGACACTATGCTACCAGAGCTCCTTGTCTCTTATTAGGAAGTAAAATAAGTTCAGCTTATTGAAAATGCAGATACTCAAGTCCCAACTCCAGAGATGCTGAATTCAGAGGGTTTGAGCTGTATTATTTTTAAAAGCTGCACTGAATTTCTGATGCTGAAATGGGAATGCTTTGGAGTGGCTGCCCAAGCTCTCCAGAAAAAGAGTCAACTGCAGTACTGCTCTGGCAGCCAGACAGAAGGGGCCAGCTCTCCAGTCACAGCTGCATGGAGCAAATGACATCTCTCAAGGAGTCTTCAAACAAGGCCTTCAGATCTTAGCACCTCAACAGAAGATGTAATCCTGGGAGCTATTGGTGGCAGCCATTTTTCTGGTCTGAGAAAGAAAGAAAGAAAAAAAAAACTGAAACGAAAACTCAGCAGGTAGCCTCGTGGTGGAGAAAGAACTTTCTGTACATCTCAAGAACAGCAGGCCAGGTGCCTATCAGTTCCTGAGGCCTAATTCTCTCCTCAGGTTCCATGAGATACTTCATGTTCTCTTCTCAAATCGCTAACTAATGCAGACCCAAGTACTGACAACTGGTGAACCACAAACAGGTAAAAGGAAAATTGAGTCTTGGTCGGGTGATGTCGTAGAAAACAGAAAAAGTCAACTTTATTTTCCAGTATTGTATTAAATATTTGTTTTCTAAAAGATAAAGCTACATAGACATGACATTGAAAGAATCAAAATGTATTAATTTTGCTACCTGTCAAACCACAGTATGCATTCATTCATGAAGCTGGCATCTCAAAACAGTGTGAAAAGAGTGTATTATTCAATAAATGTTGATTGCAGACCTGCAGAGGGTCAGGCACTAAGCCAGGCACTGAAGATACAATGGCATGAAAGAGAAAAAGGAAAACAGTTCCCACCCTACTGACATTAATCAAATCAAAAATATAAATACAAAATCACTGTCGTATGGGCCTATAAGTTCATGTGAATGATCAGAATTCCCAGGTATATAGTAGAGCTGACAAGGGGCAAGGTTATGGTCATTGCTTGGTCACAGCCAG